TGGGAGTTCCATTTTTAGTTTTTTGAGGAAACTCCATACTGTCTTCCATAGTGGCTGCACCAGTCTGCATTCCCACCAGCAGTGCACAAGTGTTCCTTTTTCTCCACATCCTCTCCAGCACTTGTCGTTTGTTGATTTGTTGATGATAGCCAGTCTGACAGGTGTGAGATGGTACATCATTGTTGTTTTGATTTGCATCTCTCGGATGATTAGTGACTTTGAGCATGTTTTCATATGTCTCTTGACTTTCTGAATGTCCTCTTTTGAAAGGTGTCTCTTTAGGTCCTTTGCCCATTTTTTGATCGGATTGTTTATCTTCCTTTTGTTAGACTTTAAATAATCTCTCTATATAGTCTATTTATTTTTACTTGCTAAAATATTAGATTTTAATCCTAACACTTTATATTTCTTCACCAACTTTATTAAATCAGCTTTATTAAATTCATCCCTGCTTTACATTTCTCTATTTCCCTGGTTCCTTTCACACAGGCAAAACCAAACATGCTTATGTTAACTTCATCCTGCAAAAATTCAATCAATTTAAGTCAGAACAAAACAAGCCTTCTTTATCTCCCTAGTCTCAATTTTTCCCCCTCCAACTTAGCCTATTTTTACCCATTGGACATTCTCTACAGAACTGTCAATGTCCTTTGCTGATTCATGAGAAATTCCACAAGAGAAGGGACTATTTTTATTTTAGTATTCAGTGTATTTCAGTACCAAGCACAATATCTAAAATGGTAGGGGCTCAATAATTGAGTTCATTTTTGTCACCCTCTCACTTCCCACTCTACCTAAGTGTGAAAAATTTGCTTCAAGCCCTGCTTAAATTATGCTTACCCAGATAACTGACCACACTAGTTCCCTTCTCTGTTATTCATCCCTTAACCACATTTCTCTTCACACCTATGTCATAATCTACCTTGACTATGTGTATGTTCCTCTTCTTGTTAATTGTGCATGATCCTCTTCACTTCCTCAGAGTCTCAGCCCCGAGTGGTCAGGATCATTAACATGCTTATTTTCTCAGCCCCCACAACTCTTTTTAATTTTGTTTTAAAAATTTATTAAAGTACATTTGTCATATAGTATTATATTACTTTCAGTTGTAAAACATAGTGATTAGACTTCACTATATATCTCATGATGTGATCACCACAGTAAGTCTAGTAACCATCTGTCACTCTGCAAAGTTATGATGGTAGTATTGGCTATATTCTCTGTGATGTACACTGCATCCCATGACTTATTTATTTTAGAGCTGGAGGTTTGTATCTATTATTTCCCTTCCCCCTTTTCACACATCCCTCCATTCCCTCCAGCAGTGTAGGAGGGTTTCATTTTACCTACAAATGAAACCCTTACCTTTCTTAGAAGGGTTTCTATTTGTTTACTTTTTGGTAATAGCCATTTTGACAGGTATGAGGTAGTATCTCATTATGGTTTTGACTTCCATTGACCTGGTGATCAGGGATGTTGAGCACCTTTTCACATGTCTGTTGGTCATCTGTATGTCTTCTTTGGAAAAAAAAAAGTTTATTCAGGTCCTGTGTTTGGGTTTTATATTTTTAGATATTGAATTGGATGGGTGTTTTTTTACATATTTTGGATATTAACTCCTAATCAGCTATATCATTTGAGAATGTCTTCTCCCATATAGCAGGCAGTCTTCTTGTTTTGTTGATAGTTTCCTGCCCAGTATAGATGTATAGATGCTTTTTAGTTTGTTGAAGTCCCATTTGTTCATTTTTTGCTTTTGTTGACCTTACCTGAGGAGGCAGAACCACAAAAAACATTGCTAAGATCAATGTCAAGATCAGTTTTTTGGTTTTGCTAAGATCAGTTTTTTGGTTTTTGCTAAGATCAAATTTTTGGTTTCAGGCCTTAGAGTTAAGTCTTTAATCTATATTGAGTTTATTTTTGTGTATGATGTAAGGAAGTTGTCCAGTTTTCTCTCTTTTTTTCTTTTTTTGTCATTTATCTGCCCAGTTTTCCCTTCCCCACTTATTCAAGAGACTGCCATTTCCCCCCGCCACCCCCCCATATAATATTACCACCTCTTTTGTCATAGATTAATTGACCATAGAAACGATGTTTTATTTCTGGGCCCTGTATTCTTTTTCATTGATCTGTGTGTCTGTTTTGTGCCAGTATCATACTGTTTTGATTATTGTAGCTCACAACTCTTAACAAAGGCTTTCTAATGACTAATTACTAATGAGTTTAATTAATAGCTTTAAGTACTGAAAGATTCTCTATGTTTGCTTTGAGTACTACATCAGTATTACCTTTGATGAAATAGTTTGTTTTTGAAATAAAAATGTGAAAATATGATGGAATAATATTTTTAAAACATTTTAAATGTAAAGTAATTATTTTAAAAAAACACATTTGGGTGTTTGTTGTTTCTTTAAAATTATAAAAGAAATTATAAGCCTATTATGGAATGTTTGAGAAATTGAGGAATACAGTTTTAATTCTAACCTAGGACTATTATAATTTTAGTCTATTTTCTTATGTAGTTTAATCTTAGTACACTATATTTGCACCCATACACAAAAGATTTTTTCAAATTGCTCCACATTTTTGTAATAACTAATTTTAAATCTAAGAAAAATACTTCCATACAGAGTAAATGTTCAATAAATGTTAGATATTATTTTATTAGATAGATATTTAATGCCATTTTAAATATGCTCTTTTTATATGCACTTACTTCTGTATCATGAATTAGTGAATTCCATCAATTCTGATTATATATTTTTTCAAAATTTTCCAACTCTAAAATTGAAGCTCATCTTATAATAGTGCAAAATAGTTTAATCTTTATCATACTTTCTTTTATGTGGTACATAAAAGAGCAAAGAGGTGCATGATATGGAGTGCACAATATCTTAATATTTTTATATCTGAAAGTAGATAGTCAAGCATTAGCGATTGTGTGTGTGTGTGTGTGTGTGTGTGTGTGTGAACAGGATTCTAAAGAAGTTTTATACCTCATTGCATAATATGCCATCTAGAAGGTTGCCACAAAACTCATAAAAGTTAGATAGTGAAACAAAAAGGAAGTCCTTAATTTCACTACTTGAGTTATAGATCTTAAAAGAAATATTTTTACTGAATTTTTATTTTACTTTTAAACATTTGAAGTCATGTATGTTCAGATCTACTTATAAAGAAAAAGTATTTACCTTAAATGCTTAGAAAAAAACGTTAAAAATAAATGAAATGGTGGGATAAGGATACATATATAATGCCTTAATCAATTAAGAAAAAAACCACACACAAAAAAATCCAATAAATAAATAAATAAATGTTCCCCTCCCCCTAGATATTTGCTCTTTATTTCGATTTTTAGAGAGAAAGGAAGGGAGAGGAGAGAGAGAAAGAGAGAGAGAGAGAGAGAGAGAGAGAGAGAAACATCAATGATGAAAGAGAATCATTGATCGGCTGCCCCCTGCATGCCCCTTACAGGGTTTCTAGCCAGGGCATGTGCTCTGACCAGGAATCAAACTCTGACCTCTTGTTTCATAGGTTGACGCTCAACCACTGACACACTGGCCTGGCAAAGAGATTTTCTCTTTAAAAACGAGTACATAGTGATGTAAAACACATACCTCTCCACCCAGTAATTACACAGAAATCTGGTTCTGTGTAGAACACTCATGTGAACTGTAATATGTCAAAAGGATGCCTCTGAGTACTTCCCACTTATAGGAAAAAGGCATTATTCAGATACAATGATAGAAATTATGTTTTAATCAATGTGCCCTTTGCTACTAATTCATTTTTGACTGCCCGAAGAGGCTTTAATAACATGTTAGAAAGTC